GCCTTCATTTGGTTAGGTTACACAAGCCAAGCTCCTTAAGTCTCTTCTTGTAAGGTAGCTTCTCCAGGCCTCTGGTCATCCTAGTAACTCTTCTCTGCACCTGTTCCAGTTTGATTTCATCTTTCTTAAACATGGGAGACCAAAACTGCACACAGTATTCCAGGTGTGGTCTCATCAGTGCCTTGTATAACAGTACTAACACTTCCCTAACTCTACTGGAAATACCTCGCCTGATGCAGCCTAGAATTGCATTAGCCTTTTTTACAGCTGCATCATATTGACAGCACATAGTCATCCCTGTCTTTCTCCTCTTCTGTTGCTTCCAACTGATACGTCCCCAGTTTATAACAAAAATTCTAGCTGTTAGTCCCTAAGTGCATGACCTTGCACTTTATACTACTACATTTCATCTCATTCCTATTACTCCAATTTTCAAAGTCATCCAAATTTTCTTGTATGACATTCCAGTCCTCTCTGTATTGGCAATACATCCCAATTTTGTGTCCTCCACAAATTTTACTAGCTCATTCCCACTTTTTGTGCCAAGGTCATTAATGAAAATGTTAAATAAGATTGGTTCCAAGAATGATTCCTGAGGAACTCAACTAGGAACCTCCTCCAGCCTGACAGTTCACCTTTCACTATGACCAGTTGTAGTCTCCTTTTACCTGACTCCTTACCCACCTTTCGATTCTTGTATTAATCCCCATCTTCTCCAATTTAACTAATCATTTCTCCTGTGGAATTGAATCAAATGCCTAACTGAAATCCAGGTAGATTACATCTAATGCATTTCCTTTGTCTAGAAAATCAGTTATCTTCTCAGCGATCTACTTTTTGTAAAAACATGTATTTTATCCCAATTGCCTTTTTTACCTCTATGTCTTTAACTACTTTCAAAATTTGTTCTAAGACCTTGCATACAATTCACCTTAGAGAGTGAATCAACTTCTATATCACTGCAGCCCATGTCGTAGCATCTTTTGCATTCCCGTTCTCAGAGTACTATCATGCAAGACTACATCTTCCTCTACAACGGCTCCTGTCATGCCTGGAGAGCTGATCCTAGCCTTTGGGGGCCAGTAAAGCAAAAATTTTGCCCACCTCTCCCCTACACATAAACAGTTCCTGTCACACTCACTATGCACAGGGCCAGCTGAGGACCTGATTATTTGAGATGTACCTCAAATGTAATATTGTGTGTGCCGGGGATCTTCATAGAAGTACAGCTCTGGTCCTTGTTCCTTTCCATCCTGGGGACCATTTTTGGTTTCAGAGGGAATAGGACCAGGAACTTAATTTAAAAATAAAAAGCTGAAATTCCCCTTTACATTTTGGCTTCCCCCTACTCAGGGAACCAGGGACCACAGGTTTTTGTGAGGCCACCTGGGGCAACCAGAAACTGACAGTTTGCAATCCTGTAGAAGTCAGACACTGTTTGCCTAAAACACTCCAGTAAGCAGGTCCTGATCCTGCTGGGAAAGGGTTACGTGGATTTTGCTGACTCATACTGGTTACTTCCCTGGTATAGAAGGAAGATGGGAGTGACTCTTTGGGGAGAGAAGACATGGGCTGGGGGCTGAGCAGTCCTGAAGGAGGAACTCCAGGAGCAGCCAAGCCTATGGAGGAGATGTGAGCTGAATTTATTGTCGGTTGCTTTGTAGTGAAGCCAAATCCCAGGAAGGGGATACGTTTGTGGACTGCATGCACATAGCAGATTGGGAAAGCAGCCTGTCTGCGTCGTTATACTCCCATCAGATGGAAATAACTGTCATAACCAAGCTGAGCTGAACTCAAAACAGTGACCTAAAGGTGAAAGACTTCACATCCCATTGCCAATCCCCTGAGTCATCCACTTACCTTCCCTCTGCATTCGTTTTGTGCTGACCCATCTTCAGCTGGTGGTGATACTGTGATGGGGGGGTTACATGACATCTCATAGGATCATCATCTCATGGCATATCCAGACGTTACAAGGCCACGTAGAAATGACTTTGTTCCTCAGATCACATTCAAGGGGATCTAATATTCAGCATAAGATAATCAAAGACCCAAAGTAGCTAAAACAATAGGAACAGCTACTGCCAGATATTCCTGAGCTAATAGGCAATAAAAGACACATCCAGTTTATATTGTAAGTTTATTACAGCAATACAATCAGATTAAATAATCTTCATAGTTGATATAATTATATCAGAGAGAATATAAATATTTTTGTTTCAATACAGGCAATCATTTCATCTTTACCATGCAGAGTGTAATATACAAACAATCACATGGAATAAAATTAAACAAAAGAGAGAAACCTAAATTACAAAGTATGGCTTTAATCTATAAGAAAGTCGTATCATACGATGAACATTCGTTTGTACTTAGGCTTGGCTGGATTCAGTTCAATCAGTAAACATCAGCATTTGTCAGTTTCACACTGAACCCAAAAACGGACAGAGGAAAACAAAATGGCCATCAATGCTAATGAACATTTAGAGACATTCAAAATATTTTTTAGACAAAAACATAAAAAGTCCTTGGGGGATCTGGCCCTTTGCTGTTAGTGGTTGTACAATGGTACCTAGAAGCAGGAGTTCTCAGGCCACTGAATTTCTCTGGCAGCACAGAAGCAGAAGCCTGCTTGTTCAGCTACATGGCAATAGAAATAGAAGCTGGGGGATGTCTGTTTAAAAGATTTTATTTTGGAAAAAAATTGATTAAAAAATCGATGCTGAACCGATAACAAATCCATTGCTGCCCAATTACACCTGTCACTGTGCTCTAACCGAGGGATGGGCAAACTATGGCCCCGGGGCCACATCCGGCCCTTCAGACATTTTAATCCGGCCCTCAAGCTCCCGCTGGGGAGCGGGGTCCAGGGCTTGCCCTGCTCCATGGTGCCGTGGCTCCGCACAGCTCCTGGAAGCAGCAGCATATCCCCCCTCCAGCTCCTACGCATAGAGGAAGCCAGGGGCTCCGCATGTTGCCCCCGCCCCAAGCACTGCCCCTGCAGCTCCCATTGGCCCAGAACTGCAGCCAATGGGAGCTGAGGGGCGGCGCCTATGGACAGGGCAGCACGCAGAGCCGCCTGGCCACACTCCGCATAGGTGCCGGAGGGGGGACATGCTGCTGTTTCCGGGAGCTGCTTGAGGTAAGAGCCCCCTGGAGCCTGCACCCCTGACCCCCTCCTGTACCCCAACCCCCAGTCCTGATCCCCCGGCTGCCCTCTAAACCCCTCGGTCCCAGCTCAGAGCACCCTCCTGTACCCCAAATCCCTCATCCCCAGCCCGGAGCCTGCACTCCCAGCTGGAGCCCCTCCCCCAACCCTTTGCCCCAGACCAGACCCCCCTCCTGCACCCTGAACTCCTCATTTCTGGCCCCACCCCAGAGCCCTCACCCCCAGCTGGAGCCCTCACCGCCTCCCGCACCCCAATGTCCAATTTTGTGAGCATTCATGGCCCGCCATACAATTTCCATAACCAGATATGGCCCTCGGGCCAAAAAGTTTGCCCACCCCTGCTCTAACCCATTGCTACTTGAGAGTCAGAGACAGAGCTCCCGCTTCAAGAGTACAGGCCACTTTAGCTGATGAAGAAACTTCCTTAGCTATGAGCAGTAACTTAGCAGGGCTTATGAGACCCCGTTTTCTTGATTTAAATACTTTATAGGCTTTCTTAAGGCATCGATCACTGTAGGATCCAACTGTCTCACAAACATCAATGAATTTATCCCAGAAACTCCTCTGTCAAGAGCAGCTCTGGCCATGAAAGGGCAGTGATCTATAAACACTCACACAAACACAAGCTAGGCCTTTCCAACAATATTCATAGAAACTGAAATAAATTAAAAATCCTGTTGAGCCTACTGATAATCCAGAGCGTGGTACAGATTTCTGCCCCCACCCTCTTCTTCTGTCTTTTATTTTTTTCCCCAAAGTTTAAAAATAAAGATCTTAAACTAGACTCATTCAATGCATTTTTAATGCCAAATGAAAACATTGCTACATGGCACCAAGTGCCCTGTTTGTTGTTATTGTTTGTTTTAAAAAAATACCATCACTAATGTATTTGTCATGCAAGTGCAGGGATGTTTTTCTCTGGAAAGATTCAAGGCTATGGGCTGATGGGTTGGAGCAGGGGTGGCCAACCTGAGCCTGAGAATTTACCAATGTACATTGCCAAAGAGCCACAGTAATATGTCAGCAGCCCCCCATCTCTTCCACCCCTACTCCCAGCACCTGTATTTTATTCCAAATCTCCAGAGTCATTATACACCTCCCGATCAGCTGTTTCTTGTTGTGCAGGAGGCTGGGGGGGGGGAGCGGGGAGAGGAGCGAGGGCATGGCAGGCTCAGGGGAGGGAGTGGGAAGGGGTGGAGTGGGGGCAGGGCCTGTAGCAGAGCCAGGGGTTGAGCAGTGAGCACCCCCTGGCACATTGGAAAGTTGGCACCTGTAGCTCCAGCCCTGGAGTCGGTGCCTATACAAGGAGCCACATATTAACTTCTGAAGAGCCGCATGTGGCTCCGGAGCCCCAGGTTGGCCACCCCTGGGTTGGAGGGATTGTTAAACAGATCTAGAATTTAGTTTTGCTCATGAGCAGGCTTAAGGAGAACAATGAATAGGGAAACTGATTTTTTTCCCTACGTCAATGAAAATTGTGATGAAGTTGAGGTAGATTTGGCTGTGTAAGGTGTAATATCCTACAGAGAAGGAAGACACACAGGAGATCAAATAAACAGACAGATCAATGCAAAGGACAGGCGAACTAGCATGGGGGAAATATCCTTGCCCTTCCATCAAAAAGTAATCCCATCCAGGATTGTTCCCTCATCACGTCCTGCCTAGTTAGCAACACTACAAGCTTCTCCCCATGGCCTGTCAGTGTCCGTTACCCTGGCCCAAAGAAACCCCTCTAGAGGTCAAATGGTAAATCAGCCTCTATGGCCCATCCGGTTCTTGAACCCTCTGCTAAGGGTATGTCTACATTACCCACCGGATCGGCGGGCAGCGATCAATCCAGCTGGGATCGATTTATTGTGTCTAGTCTAGACGCGATAAATCGACCCCCGAGTGCTCTCCCATCGACTCTTGTACTCCAGCGCCGCGAGAGGCGCAGGCAGAGTCGACGGGGAAGTGGCAGCAGTCGACTCACTGCAGTGAAGACACCACGGTAAGTCGATCTAAGTATGTCGATTTCAGCTACGTTATTCACGTAGCTGAAGTTGCGTAACTTAGATCAATTTCCCCCCCTGCTCCCCAAGTGTAGACCAGGCCTAAGACTACCAACAAAGGGGCAAATTGGAGGCAACGGTAGTGATTTCTTTGATGTGGATATCTGCCCATTGAGAACTGGGCTGAGAACACCAAACTCATTGCACACAGGGCAATGAACACACATCAGATGGTAGTGACTTTCAACCAGTGCTGACCTAGGCTGCCGTAACACCATAGCTTGAGCTACAGGCGAATTCCTTTCGCTGCTGAAAGGAGGTGTCTTCTCCTTGCTGCAGGCCAGCTAGCAGAGCGCAACTTCCCTCACACACTGCATCACACTGCCCTTGAACCTCCCCCCACCCCCAACTTGGCAAACTGAAGACATCTGCGTAGACTGGAGCAATGGGGAACCTAAGCTCTGACCCTGCCGTGTGTGAAACTGATGCCTGTTCGCAGGGCCTGTGCACCATTTAAGGCTTATGTGTGCCCAAAGCATTAGTTCTAGCCCTCTGCCAAGGGGTGAATTTCCCTCTGTGTTACTGGAAAATACCATATTGCACACACCGTCAATCCCTACAATCTGTGTTTTGTGTAGCAACAACCTACCCACACACACCAGCTGGAGTGGATTTTCTGAAACTCTGTTCTGCATGGAAGGTCTAATGCTATCAGAGAGTGTGAACATACCTAATGAATTCCCTTCCACTGTTCTTAATATGGAATTTCTGCAACTGGAGCTTAATTAGCATCTTAATAATATTCCCACCCACCGCCTCCGCCTCTCCCCCACCGACATCCAAATTAGCTGCTGCAGCTCCAGCATGGATGAGCTTGATGGATCCAGTGGCAGCAGGACGCAGGCCGCTCTTAGCAGCTGTGCTATTGTTCTGTCAGTTCAGCAGCCTTGGGGGAGGAACATCTGTTTTGTCCCCTCCCCTCCCCCCCTGTGACACTGGGGGCTGATGATGCCTTAAGGCTGGAGGTGCCTGCACACTCTCTACGGACTGGCAGGATTGGCGGGGCAAGTGCTTATTATGCTAATCTGCCTTCAGCTTGGCTCTGCTTCATGGGAAGGATACCCCTGAGCTGTGACAGCCTTCAACTCTGCCAGCATGTGCTGCAGAGGCAGTGTCTCAGAAAAAAAAAAAAAAGGGGGTTGAGGTTTACACTGAATTCCACTCCCACCAGCGACCCCTCCTCGCAAGGAATACATCGAAAAGGAACTGTTTGTCCTTGGAGATGCCATTGGGGCACAATGCAACAAGAAGAGAGATGCAGGGAAATAGGTTAACCCTTTTACTGCTGGTCTGCCATTGAAAATGCTGTGCTGGCATTTTCTCCACATACAAGTGATGATAAAAAGGGGTATTAAGCTGCACGCATCACATTCAGCAGCCCAGAAGGTGCCATGCACTGGAAATGGTACGTTCAGTAGCAGAACCGGAGCATTCTATCTAGATGTCCCTGATACATACAACAGGGACACTCCATGTGGACATATCCTGTACAGTCAGCAGCCCATCAGGGGCACCTCACCTGGGTGCACCCGGTACATTCAGTATCATGATGCCCAGATACACAGAGCAATATAGCAGTGGTGCCCTCAGTACATTCACTGCTGGTGTCAATGGGGCTGCATCCACTGACTTCAGAGAAGCTGCACCCATTTACAGCAACAGAGAACATGGCTCAGCATTTTACGTGTGAGAGATAGGTCATCTATAAATGTAACAAGTGGTCTATTCAGTGTGCTATGTGGCACAATACTTTATTGCACATCGTTTCTTGTTCACAACCTCATCAAAACTGGCCAGTGTAATCATGCCCTTTGCCTATCAATGCATATATGTTAAAGAGATCAACCATCCACTCTCTATCACACCCTACAGATATATGGGAATGTGTTCCTTTTGGGGCTGGGGAGTAGAGCAAAGGATTAAATTGAAAATGAGACCACTTCGACTAAAATAACTTTATTGTATAGCTAAATAAAGACTATGCTGCGAAGGGCATTGGCGAGGCATGCTGCTGGGCCATGATCTCACTAGTCTGCTGTGATTGTGGCTAGGGGTGTGGGGAGTAGTATTCCACACCGACAGCAAGATACTGACTGATTAATGAGGGGAGTCCCCTCTGTGTTGGGAATTCAAGGCAGTCGACATCAGTTTCCGGGCCCGATCCTGTGAACACCACCTGTCTTCAGCTCCCACTGCAGGATCGGGCCTTCTATCTGCGGCATGGAGGATGAATGACCTAATCTGCCCCACTGATGATTTATAGCAGCAAAATACCACAGCCCATCTTCAAGTAATTAGCAAATGCAGGTGGCTTTAATATAAATCTCTAAATCAAGGCATAGGCACAGCTGTAACTCTCTTGGGGACACCGTCACCCCTTAAAACAAAAGTCCCGGGGAACTAATGTCACTCATTAAAGATGGACTTCCACTTGCTGGTATTGCCAGGATTTGCATTTTTTCGCTGAACAGCATGAAAGATGGTTCCCGCCCCACTGCACAATTCTATAGAAGCTTCAGCACTGGGATTGCCTTTAACCCTCTCACTCCCAAATAAAAAAAGGATGCCTTCTCATCAGTATGCTGCCTGTCTTTATCCTCTGAGCAAGAACACGGAGTCCCTGACTCTAATTGAGGAAATGCAATAGTAGTCCGCAGCACTGACTCAACACCACTGCAGTAAGAGTATTGTGAGCCACAGGATTTCTGATCATCACTGGAGCAGAAAGGAAACCTGACATCTCAACCCCGTTGGTGGTTTTTATAGGGCTGGTAGAATACAGTGCCACAGTTACAGTATTTGCAAATCCCAATGGACAGGTCATTCTTTTTCACCGGCGTAATTTACATAGGATAATGTTAATATACTGGGAATTTAGATACACTGATTTCAGCGGGCAGTTAAAAAAATTGCTTCAATTAAACTTAACCCTTCACATGCACAATAATAAAAAAAAGGATTTTGCTTTTAAAAGTGCCGTGCCTGCAATCGATTAGAAAAACACTGAAAATCTTCTCATAAAATATTGGATTTTCAAATGGGGCCTATGGGAGGTAGGTATCAAAATCTCATTGAAATTCTAGGGGAGGTAGGTGCCTAACTCCCTTAGGTGCCTTTGAAAATCCAACCCCCCCAAAATAGTCAAGGAAAAACATTTACCACATTTTTTGTCTGTAACTTTTTGCCGTAGGAAGGTAGGGGCTTTAGTGCCTGAGGTATAGGTAGTTCCTGGATGCTTTTAGGAAAGTGGGAAGGTGGGAGAGACTGGAGAATAGTTTGCATAGCTTGCAGGTATAAAGAAGCAGGTGTGTTCCCCACCAGGGTGTTGAATTTGTCTTCCCCTAGCAAAGCTGTCCAGTGGTCTGGATGATCCTGCAGAACTTTCCGCATCTTAAACTGTGGGCTAGGCATGAAGAGCAAGAGGTAATCGAGGCAGAGTTTTTTTGATGCCACGTTGACTTTGGAGTCCCACATCTGCTCCAGGATGACATCCAACGGGGTGAGCCCTTTGCTGTCCTCGATCCTGGGAGAAGCCCCGTTCCCTAGGAGGATGAGGACGGTCTCTGACCTCAGCAGTTCGCAGGCAAGGTGCAGCGGGGTCTTGCCATCTTCCAGATGAAAGCAGCCGGTCCTGTTGATGTAGGAGTTTAGGCTGGGTAGCTTGTGTGCAATCTTGATGATCAGCCCCAAAATGTCCCTCCTGTCGTATGTGACTGCCATGGCCAAATGAGGGGCAGAGGACGGGCAATAGCAGAAATGCTCTCCAGGCACCTTGAGAGCCTCCTCTGGAAAATGAGAGAGCAGATACTGGGCATAAGGCAGGTGATTATGCACCACTGCATAGAGAAGGGCTTCCGAAGGTGAATATGTTCTCAGGCTGGCATTTTCCTCCCAGTAAAAATATTCCATAGTTCTCATATCTTCCAGCATCCATACCGGTTTGTGGTCTCTCACAGCCTGGTAGAACATATAGGATAAGAACTTACAATGCCTGCTCTGCTCATCCTGCAGGCTGGCCTGGTTACTGGCCATGTCTCAGCAAATAAACAAGACCTGCACGCAAGCTCGCTCCAGAATGTAAGATTCACTCACTTTGAATGCAGATCCCAATGCTGCTGCAACCTTCAGCCTGTCATTGCAGCCCGACTGCACTAGCTGGAATGCCTCGGCTTGAACATCTCCACCCATTCATTGTTTTTCCCCCTCATTGCAGTGGTTTTGTTTAGGTAAGCACAATCCCACAGGCTCAGTTAACCCATGCCATGCAATAGACGGTTAGTCAGTGCACCCTGCTTCATGCACGGCACAGGTTACTGGAACACTGTCAAACTAGCAGTGATTTGATAGAAGCAGAGCTAGATTGGAGAGACTAAAATTAGCTTTAGAGGTGAGGCAATTTTCTGTCTGTGTTTGATGCCTACCCAGATCAGCTGGTATAGTGCAGTAAGCACAATATGCATTTATTCATTTGTCTTTGTCCCTCATACTTGTACAATTCATTATATAATAAATGTATATTGATACTATATAATCAATATTGAATACCATATATAATTTTTATATACTGATTGCTAGCTATATGGTTATAAAGTGACTTCTATTTACTAAATACTGTTATGGCTGGCCCATTAGGGGACACTGATAATGGTTTGTCTATTAGGAGTCATTGATGCATAAGCCCATAGGCTGAAACCCCACATAGAACAAGTTGAAGACACTGTGCAGTAACCCCATCCAGAGTCATGAAGGATATTGGATAGTTAAAGCACTTCCCTTTGTCTGGCAGTTAAAGCTCTGAGGTTCCTTTGTGTTGCAAAGCAGCTGCATAAAGAAACAATTAATGTCCAAGCCATCTTTCTGTCTAGACCAGCTAGTCTGAGAGGGATCCTTGCACTAGGGGTTTCCCAGGTGTCTAGCTCAGGGACTGGCCAAGCAGGGGAGTTTGGGGCTGTGTGAGACTTGTGTGAGGTCCTGGGAAGAGACAGAGGCCCAAGGCAGATGCTTCTGGGACAAGGCAGAGGTACCTGACCGGAGGTTTCTGCAAGAGGGCGTGCCCTGTGTGCTTTGTTACCATCTGTGTTCAATGAAACAGGATTTGCACACATTATAAATAAACAAATTATACTGAGAAAATACCTGACTCTGCTTCACTGATTTCTGCTTCAAACAGGACCTGACCTGCAAGGTCCTGAATTCTGTTATAACTTGGCAAAGGGGCAACAAGCTACACTGTGTCCATATTGAGAGACACAACACACAACATTCAGATCTGGATTTTGAATAGCCCAAAGTTGCAAGGTGTTCAGGTCCAGGGGTTTGGATCATCATAGGATAAAATTAGGTCCATTTGCAAAGTTTGGGTCTGGATCTGGGTACAGACTGCAACCTCCCAGCCCACAAAGTTCAGGGACATTTAGATCTAGGGTTTGGTTCAAGCCCATCTCCTGTACAGTGTATACATTTAATATTTTGGGTCAGGTTTACACATTTTGAGTGAGCAATTGCATGCCCAGTTTGTGTTCACAATTAATGTGACTGTGCATGCAAATACAGCTAATTAGATATTTGCATGCACAATTATCCAGTTTGTATGTGTACCCACACACCTTCTGGGCGTGGTGTTCTGTCCCATCTATGGGCACCAAGACCACTTAGAGAGAGAGATAAAATGAGTCTGCTCTACAGCCTTAGTTAACAGCTAGTTGGCTTTTAGCTCATGTGGTAGAGGCTCATGCTTTAAGCTCCAGAGGCCCCAGGTTCAACCGGGGTCTGTCGGCATTAAATATGCAGTCATAATAACGTCAATGTGCTCTAAATCCGGACTTAGGTGCATGATGGAGCAAACATATTTTGTGTGTCCAGTTGTTCACCCAAACAGTCTGAAAAATCAGGCCATTAGCATACAGGCCCCGTATAATAAACTGGTCTGATTAAAAGTTAAAGTATTAATACATTACATGTTTATAGCATCTTTCATCCAATGATGAAGGATTGGTCCTGCTTTGAGCTGGGGGTTGGACTAGATGACCTCCCGAGGTCCCTTCCAACCATGATATTCTATGATTCTATTATCTCAAAAGACTTTGCAATCATTAATTCATTATGTCTACAACACTCCAGAGAGATACGTAAGTATTGCTAGCCCCATTTTACAGAAGAGGAAACAGAGGCACGTGCACAGATGTTTTATGACTTACCCAGGTTTACACAGTAAGCCAGTGGCAGAACTGGGAGTAGAGCCATGAACTCCTGAGTCTTTGCTCCACGCTCTGACCACTGGATAACCCTCCCTCTCAAACTGATGGCAGAAGTTTGGAGCTAAAGACAAAGTACAACGTTTGTACTCTCTTCTATTATTGTGGGTAATTATAGTGTGTTTAAATGTGTTCACTGGGTGAAAAACATCTGAACAAAAACTGTTCTGCAAACAATATTATCCCTTCCCATATAAAATACCAGGAGAAGGAATAATTAGTCTCTAAACTCCATGGCTTATGAAGAGACAATGTTGTGCCATGAGGGTGAGGGAAGAGATGCCCAAGGGACAGAGGCATCTCCTGGGAAGGATCACTGCGGAGAAATGGGGCCAAATCTGTAGCAGAGAGATTAAATATCAGGCCCGCCTCTGCGCTTCCTTAAGCTGCTCATCTATTCTCCCCGCCATGCTGCTGTCTGCTATAGGCAAGCTCTCTGCGTGCTGCATGCTCCTATCTCATCCAATAGTCTATGCAAGCTAGAGCTGGGTGGACTGTTTGGTAATGCATCTGTTTTGAGGTTGCAAAATAAAAAATGTCTGCAAAACAGAAGTAAATCTCTTACACAAAAACATGCAAGGTTTCTCACAACAAATTTGAGTGAAAAAACTTTGGCTCCTATCTATGAGTGCAAACCAAACAAACCACAAGATTCAAGAGAGGTGGCGGGGGTGAAGTGGGGTTCTTTTTTGCCTTTTGAGCAGAGATTGGTTGGTCAAGCAAGTCGTGTCACACGGTGTTGGTTCTGGTTTCCTGATTGGCTGAGCTGTATTCCACAGGGTTAGCAGAAGGCCAGGCCATTCTGACTCAATTTCACAGAGGGCGTAGCAGCAGAAAGAAGCAATTTTATGCACCTCTGTATGTTGAAGGGGACAGGGGAACATTTTTTATCCTCACCTCCTAAGACCAGCTAAGATTTCAGATAGAACATGGCAACCATGCTTGAGAACTCCAGATAGGAGAATGGTCTTCCAATTAAAGCTGATAGACATTGAGATATGTGGATACTGCAGTGTACAGGAATTGGCAGAATCCTTTTAAACTGTCTTGTCTCTTTTAGAAACCAGCCAGAGGCCTTGCATGTTGTATATAATTAATATACATGGTTGTACGGACCCCACCATGCACTGTGGTTTCTTCATGCTATTATTGTTGGGTAAAGGCCAAAAGACACAGCAGGTGAAGATTCCCTAATCCAGGAATGCAGTGGTACAGAGAGTGACAGAAAAGGCCAAGTGAAAATGAAAGAGTAACTGCAATCCATAGGCACTGGGACCGTAACCTACTCACTTGGCCAGGAGTGTTGCTCACATGTATATTGATTCATAGGGTCAACAGGAATAAACTGCTTCCTGCCATTACGGTGTTTCTGTCTGGTTGTGTTTTTGTTTAGTCTGTTCAGCTGAGACAGTTTCATGATGCGGACATGCCTACTCTCAGGAATTAATCCTGAGAACTGTGATTTCTAAGTAAAAATTAAGCCTGATTTATGACCTCGCGATAGAACTCTCAACTGTCAGGAACTTTCAGCCACGAAAAGGAGCTTATGTAGGTCGCTAGTTCTTGCATGCCTATGTATAGTTACCAAACAGGGTTATGCAGAACTCAGCTGCGCCTCTGTGGTTTCTTGATAGTATCGTTATTGTGTAAAGAGCAAAAGGTAAAGCAACTGTGGATGAGGAGGCAGCCCCTAGGACTGTGTGTCAACCGCTTATTTAAATAAAGTAGTGGGAGTGGGGTAAAAATGTCTGGCTGTTTGGGGGAGATGGACTTGTCTGATACCTCTGTAGAAGAGTAGACTATACTGAGAGACTAGAACAATATAAAATGGCTAATAGTACAACTGATGAGAAAAAGTAGTGCTTTCACTGGGTGTAACCTGCAAGGTAGCCTAACAGCATCTCTGAAACCAGCAGAGTGTGCTGAAATTGTGGAAGTTACACAAAGTCACCTATCCTCAAAGCCACTGGTGATTACAGAGCATTTCTGCTCTTCTCAACAAAATCAAACAGCAAATGAAACCATTTCTGAATAGGTGGCTAAATTAAGGAAGTTAACAGAACATTGCCAGTTTGGGGAGCATTTAAATGATATATGAAGGGACTAGTTAATGTGTGGTTTGCAAAATGAAGCAACCCAAAAACAGATAGAGTATGTCTACACTACAAACGCTAGAGTGGCATAGCTACAGTGCTACCTATAATGAAGATGCTTCCTACAACAACAGAAGGGGTTTTTCCATCAATATAGTTAATCTACCTCTCCAAAAGGTGGTAGCTAGGTTGATTGAAGAATTTTTCCATTGATTTAGCAGGGGCTTAGGTCGACCTAACTACATTGCACAGGGACAATTTTTTTCACAGTCCTGAGTGATGTATCTAGGTCGATCTAATTTTTAAGTGTAGACCTGGCCTAAGGCTGAATTGATCCTAAATCGTGCACTAGACGTTGCATCAATGGAGACAGCTACTAATAACGTCAGGGAGTTGCAACGTTGTGCAATCTGTGCAACACACAAACTGAGGGTCATACAGAAAGCACTACCAGGAGAGTACTCAAAGACTTTTGTTGTGGGAAACAGTCTCATAATACAGATGATTGTTGGTTCAAGAACAAGTGCATTATGAACTTCCACATATTGGGACACATACAGAAAATGTGCACATCAGTGAAAAAAACACAACCACCACCTTGTAAGGACCATAGCAGAGGACTGTATAGTCATCAGCTTGCAGATGACAACATCGAGTCCTCTGAGAACGTTGTAGCAACTCTACT